AAACAAGGACAACTGTCAACTGAATGATGGAAACAGACATCTGAATCCCAGGGCTTTGAAAAGAAGAGACGGGCACAGCTACCACGAGATTGGAATTGATTATAACGTTAAGGTACGAGAGAAAGTGAAATTTGCTTATAAACGCATTTACTGACGATGCGCTTCTTGTTAGAGATACTGCTAAACAAAATGACAGCGGCTTGTTAGGTTGTTAGGTATTGTCACCTTTGCTAGGTAACATAAGAGAAGGGTTACATGATGACCTAGGTGAGGAGCTGCTACGTAACTTACGAGAGTTTGCTTTATAACCCAAGAGAGAGGTTGCTAGGTAACACGAGGGATTTTCAGGTTACGTCACCAGAGGTTGCTATGTAACATGAGAGAGAGGTTCCTGGGTAACACGAAAGAGAGATGTTACAGGGTAACGTAAGAGATAAGTTGCTAGGTAATAAGAGAAAAAGGTTGCTAGGTAACATAAGAAAGAGGTTGCTATAGGTGACAAGAGAAAAAAATTGCTATACTACAGATAAAGAGACATAATGCTGTCTGACTAGAAAAATTGAGAGGTCACGAGAAAAACAGAAGTTGCTTGGCAAAATGGCAGAGTGCTTGCATGTTAGTTATAATGACGGGCAGGTTGCTGGGAAACATGACGCAAAGGTTACCAGGTAAAATGGCAGAGAGGCTGTTAGGTATCATGACAGAAAGGTTGCCAGTATAGGTACCATGACAAGATAGGTTGCTGTAGGTATTATGGCAGAGGAGTTCTAGGTAAAAAGAAGAGAGATTGTTATGTAACATGCGTGGTATAGAAGGTGTAAGGTATCATGACAGATAACATGAAAAGTTAATGACATTCTCAACAAGGTAAAGCACAGTTTTGTAACCCGAGGAGCTTTGACTTTGACTGATTAGGCATTTAGAATTTAGAACATTCCTAGGAGTGTTGTTCAAATGAGCCAGTCACTCTATAAACTACATGATGAATAGAAAGAATAGCTGTAATCTAATTGGTAAAGTGTGCGGTCTTAAGCTTGTTAATCCCATCAATGAATAATAATAATAATAATAATATAATAATAATAATAATAGTAATATAATAATAATCACTTTATTATATCGAATTACATGTATGCCACTGACATCAGTTGCTTTTGTTGCGTTTTTCGCGAAAAAAAAAAGCGCACTTCTGATTAAAACAATTATATAGAATTCAATGCATGTTCTGCTATTTAATTAGGATCTTCTTGATGTCAATGTAACATTCAATCCACCTTTTTGTTATCATTAAGCCAGGAACAAAATGTACGCACTGTTACAATGGTTGCTGTCACGGAAATGATCTCTGTTTAAACGGTGGAACATGCCAAGAGCTCTGTGAAGCCAACAACAGAAGGTTTAGATGCAAATGCATGCCAGGTTACTCAGGGAGGTTTTGCGACAAAGGTGAGGGTCATTGGCTGATGTGCAAATGAGGATATACATATGTTATTGGCCGGCTAGGAGGTCGGTATAGTGAAAAACTGCGACCGAGGTCTAGAAAGCATTTTGTTAGCATTAGTTGTACTGCAGAATTTGTTGAATTTCGCCCGCTCACGAGCTGAGAAAAAGATAAAACGATGGAATGCAAACTTGAAATGCTAACAGGCAGCATGTCACTATATTCTACGGACGTTTTTTCACTTAGAAGGTGGCGAGGTGATGATCTCGATCATTTAAATTCTGACAATTTCCATGTTCTTTTCAACAAAGCTCGAGCTCATCCAAGAAGCTGCGCAGAGATTAAGAAACAAGGTGGCACAACAGATGGAGTTTACATGGTTGATCCGGATGGTATGGGAGCCTTTCAAGTCTTTTGCCAACAGAATAATGTCGCGGAAGCCTGGGCCGTGATTCAACGAAGACTGGACGGCTCGGTCGACTTTTACCGCGGCTGGGAAGACTACAAAAGAGGTTTTGGACACCTGAATGGCACGTTTTGGCTCGGACTTGAAAAGATTCACCGCCTGACCAATAAGACAAACCAACACAAGTTGAGAGTAGAGCTGGAAAACTTCGCTGGCTCCTCGTGTTATGCAGAATATGATAACTTTACTGTGAATGGTGAAGATGACGGATATCGACTGGCACGTCTTGGATTTTATCAAGGTATTTATGTTTTTTTCAGCCTCCAGACTATAGGTAGCCTTTTTTCCCTCCTCAATTCATCAGGAATTCAACTCAGCAAATGCCATACTAATGGAAAAGCTCGACAAAGATCCGGCCGTCCTCTTTCTCTGATCATGATTGGTTCTTACTTGCGCACCAAAATGTATACCAATAGACAACCAAAAACACTACACCTGTCCTGGTATGCTACATCAACAGCATGGATGTTTGTTTTGTTTTGCTTTGTTTTGCTTTGTTTTGCTTTGTTTTGCTTTGTTTTGCTTTGTTTTGCTTTGTTTTGCTTTGTTTTGCTTTGTTTTGCTTTGTTTTGCTTTGTTTTGCTTTGTTTTGCTTTGTTTTCCTTGCTTCGTTTTGTTTCGTTTTGTTTTGTTTCGTTTTGTTTTGTTTCGTTTTGTTTTGTTTTTTTCCTGTCTCTCTTGATTACGGAAGATGAACGGAACAGGCAAAGATGGGCGTCTGCTGCCTCTGAAAACATTTACCCTTGAACGCCATTTCATTGTTGTTCTTTTCTGCAGGTTCATGTGTAGATTCGCTCAATTACAATCGTGGTGCCGCCTTCTCCACCAAAGACAAAGACTCCGATACCTATGGGGCTGGTAACTGCGCTGTGGTTCATCAAGGCGCTTGGTGGTATAAATCATGCACACAAACCAATCTTAACGGACTCTACAGCCCCACAGGTCACGATATTACAGGAATATACTGGTACAAGTCACTTAACAACATAGTTCGTCTTAAAAGTGTTGAAATGAAGCTAGAACTCGTGGTATAACAAGATATTTGTAATACCTCCAAAGGCGGTGAATTCTGTTAGAATCCTTCTTACTTCGTTGATGGGCGGACCCCGCCCTTAACAGGGTTAAAACTAGACGATAGAACTGTAGATATCCTTCGCTATTGAGAATCAGCTTCCGTGAATAAATCTTGTTTTAATAATTTGTAATAATTTGTAATAATCCGCGTAGAGGCATATCATTGCAGCTAAATATTTATCTCCGAGAGTCTGGTAAAGTTAGAAGCTAAACCTTGGGACCAGAAGTACTGAAGTAGAAGCAGAAGTAAAAGAGGGGCCATTGTACAGGAAAATAAAATGGTATAGAGTGTGTAGCTGATATCATGACTGAGTGTCTGCTTACGGCAGATGACCGTAACAGAGTTTTGACTGTACCGGTATAGATGACAATAGTTGCAGGAACCACTATGATTCAGCATTATAAAGAAGGTTGGATGCAATGGCGTCAAATATACCACAGCATTCCTGTATACCGATTGGCTGTATTTTTTTATGGCATGGCATAAAGAGTAGTATTAAATTTAGTGTCACAAAACCAAAACCAACGTAATCACTCTAACCAATGACAAAATACAGGGTACAGACAATTGAGAGAGTCAGTCAGAACTCGTGAAAAATACATGTAGCTGGCTCGAAGCGTGGAAAAACGTCTTGCAGCGAGTCGCGATTGCTTTTGACGGATTTTCCTTCTGATTAAAAGACAAAAAAGCATTTTTTTTAAAGCCAGTCGCTTAACGTAGTAGAGGGTCCACAATAGGGTTCTCAGATCCCGCTTTCCCGCCCATTTTTTCCTGTTAATCCCGCCATCCCGCCCTTTCTTGCCTAGAAATCCCGATCCCGCCCACTTTTCAAAGACGTTTCTGCGTTAATTATTAATTTGTTAAAGTAATACTTAAATTAATTATTAACTCAGAAAGGTTTTAAAACTAGATATCGCATAAAAGATCACAAAAGAATGCAATGGCTAGCAGAAAAATAAGCACAAATGATTATAACATTTCTTTCTGTAAACGGTTTACTGTTTTGTTTTCTTTTGTCCACGTATCAGTGAAAGGAAAAGATTGCTCGTTTCCATATTCAAGAGATGGTCCATAAACGCAATAGACAGTTTCTTTCAAAGCTTGCAGCATCTTCACTTTCCTTGAAATCTGGCCTCGGAACTTTTCTTTCCGAATGAAGGCATTCCTGCTCGCAGATCTTTTTCGTAATATATGGTGACGCAATTCGTAATGTCGCATACTTCGTTCAGTAAATCACTGTCATCACCATCCGAAAGACTAAAAAAA